TGCTGGTTATAGACTCTGAGGACTCTATACAGAATCAATTTCTTACATACAGCAGGCATCATGGATTAATTCAATTGTACATAATATTCCCAGATTTTATCAGCATTTTCTGAGCCCAGACTGAGCAGCTGAATGGAAACTGCCATTTTTGGAAGGCCAGCTTCCCTATATAGCAGATCCCAGATGTCAGAGAATCAATGGGCAGTCTATAGGCTTTGATAGAGTCACTTTGGTGGTTAAGAGCAGTGCACTCATGTGTAAAGAGGCATATGTGGGTTTTTGAGTTTTGTGGATTGTGCCATAACCACTTGCTGGGGAGAGGGCCATAGCTGGCAGTACGATCCCTTTTGTTGGATACATGTCAGTTTGTGAGTAAAACATTTTGACTACATCAGAAGTTAAGCTCAGCAAGACTGCTAATATATTGCCTGCATAGAGTACTGACATATCTTCCACATTTTGCACCACCTAGCTGCCATCTCATGGCATAAACATTCAGAGTAGCCTGCTAATTTATTATGTTGTTCTAATTTGAGGAGCATAGTTTGCAATTATGAGCAACATCCCAATTGAGTAAGTATTTACATATTGATATGAGACTCTCCATTGAGAACACAGACATTATGGATCTATTTCTTACTTGATGAATTGCCAAGTTAATTACCAATATTACCAAAATACTAAGGAACAGTGTTACTGGTTTGTGTTGATATCAACAAAGTGAAAATAGCTTGGAAATGTTGCAAAGAAGTATGCCTCTAGATCAACTAGAACTCAAGGAAGGGGAATCTGGGAGGTTGACTACAGTAACAACTACTCAGCTGGGACTTGCTGTTGTACAAGTATTAGCCCTTGATCAGAGAGAACTTCTGATACAGAAGGATGTCTTTCAATAGATTGTTAACAGTACTTCCCCAAGTACAAACCAATCAACAGTCAACAGAGAAGTATACCAGTAAGAAATTCTGAAAAAAGGCCCTTCCAGAATTGTCATGTTATACAAGAAATACAACCAAAGACTGTCCAGTTTGCTCTCACCATTTGTACACTGAAGTGAACAGTTACCAGGCACTGACCAGTAGTGCAAAGCCATACTAAGGTATGTTACTGGATCAGAGCTCAGTCAATGGGCTAATGTATGATGTGAATCAATGTACCACCATGGTGAGTGCCATCAAGACTGATAGAGTTGTGGGAAAGATTGATCACTGATGTCAGGGACTATTGACAATAAGGTACAGAGGAGTACAGTAGCAAGTGGTAGATGAGATAAATGTTTGGACTTGCTCTTAGGGATGCTCCTTTTGAGCATTTCCCAAGTGCACTCCCTCTTAGCTACATAAATACTTCATAGAATCCAAATAGCAGAAGACTCAGTACACCACTTTCCCAGGCCATTCAAGATGCACAATAAGGCTCAAAAAGTAGGAAGAAAGCAAGGCAAGGGTATGTGTGTTAATGATTGCCACTGATCATCAAGCATATGCTCTGTGAAACATGGGACCACATGGATGTTAACCTGAAACACTAGTGTAGCCCTATGAAAACTCAGAAATAGTGTACAGCTTGATGAGTCACTCATAGATTGCCTGCCACCTGGAATATTATCATCAATATTCTGAGCTAATAGTCACCCAGTAACAGCTCACAAAGCATCTGGTCACAAGGGATCTAAGGAAAGTACTGGAAACCTGGTAATAGGCCAGTCAGTACATACACAATCAAGTGCTACAAAGCATAACAATGTGAGAAACAAATGATCACCTGAATGTAGTGAGAAGGCACTGTGAATACTACAGTGAAGTCCATTAAAAGGAAATCAAATAAAGATAACAAAGTGCAGGAATGATAACAACTGCTGCTTATCCTATTCAAAGATCACATACAGTCATCTACCCCCTGGTGAGTCGCTACCCCCAGTGGGTTGATTCCCTTACGCGGGCGAGTCTGCATCCATTTGAGGGAATTTATTCGCACGCCTGGTCGTGAGACACTGCCCGAGGATGTTATCTTGTACTGATAAGATTGCTCACATCCATATATGGCTCTTATCACCTGCAATAGGCAGTTGACCCACCAGGGGGTAGATGACTGTATGTGGATTTCCTTGTAAAAATGCCTTGTCCCTAACAACAGCCTGCATACTAAGACTTGCACATGGGGTCATTGTTGCCTCTTACAGGTATTCTAGTAATGCCTAATATCAATGGTCATGCACTCTGGTCATAAGTCAAGGGATTTCTATATCTCCAGACACACTCCCAAGGTAATTAATTACCAGTGCCATTTTCTGGGGGACTGTGTGTGCACATACAATGGTACTATATTGGGATTAGACACCATATGTTGATATTGACATTCCTCTGGCATGGCAGGTACAATCCAGGATCAACTGCCAAATTGGGTGCTAGTAGGCACACCACATATTCATATTTCCAATGCTGTTCATATATCAAACATGTTCACACCATGGTCTAAAGTGCTATTTTTCCATTTCCCATATAACATGAAATGATTGAGCATGAGTAGCTGACATTTTATAATGACATGTAAAAGGAGACAGTTGCAGCAAATGAGAGTACTCCTGAAGGCATATTACTGACTAGAGAGCTATAAAAGGACAGCCTTATATTGCCTCAGAAGCATGGCCTCTTCACTGTTGCTTAGTAAGCAATGCAAGTCTGCATTAATTCCAGAGCAACCATGGCTTCTTCTAAGCCCAATCAGAAAGAAAGCTGCCTTTTCTATCTCCACATACCAAGGGCCATTGCATGAGAATAGGATGATGGTAGTGCATACAGAGGTTAGATATGTTCCAAGCAAAAGTCATCTGAGGGACTAACAACCAAGCATAGCACCATCATACTATGTAAATGGCATTCATATTGACAAGATTAGTCAAAGACATGCTTATACTGGACTGCTACAATAGAGCTGCTGACATCAGGCTATGTGCATCTGCATTAGCACATGTGGGATGTACTGTTGCATTGGCCTACAACAGTCAGCACAATGTGAAGTCATGGGATTGTCTGATTTTATCTTATTTCCTACTATTTATCTAGCATTGCAGAGACCATCAAAGACTTTGATACACTATGTGTGGTAATGTGGTGGCCCCACTTTATGACATTGCTAGCCTATGAAGTTTCTCACAACAGTAGTAACTGCATAACACAACTTGTACAATGTCTTTGTATCACTTTTTAGGATCAGTACAGTGTGAAAAAGATCTGTGGACCCACAATTCTGATGGCTATGCTATTGACATGTGACACAGAGTGAGTATCATGAACATGCTCAGCATGAACTGTGCCACAGCCTTTGTGCCACAGGTGTCCACCATTTTCTGAATATGCTATAGCCAATCACTACTTACAGCAAACAGTACAAGGTGAGCCTGAGTGGAATCTTATGAAGTATTGTCTTGTTTTATCCGCATTTTCTGAGCCCAGACACAGCAGGTAACTCAGACTTTCCATTTTGGGAATGTAAACTATCACATATAGCAGGTTTGGTCACACAATTCATAGGCAGTTGGTAAGCATCACAGGAAAAACAAACAATGTGAAAGAACCAGTGTTCACAGAGCCATATGCTGGTGCTATATTTGTATGAATCTATGGGAAAGCATACTATGTAAAGCCTCTCTGGCATCATATACATGACTAGGAATTTTCCCAATTGTTTTTGATTTTTTGGGAGACCATAGCACAGCAAATACATTGTCACTAATGAGCTTGTGGCTTGCATTCAAACTCAGCCCAATAGCCTGCCTTTGCAGGGCCTATTGAAGAGTTGAACTGAACAGAATAGCCTAGGATCCTGTCTGGAGCTGCCAGTCCCCGGAATTCCAGGTGATAATGGTGCTTACAAGATGGACCAAGACTCACTGACAGAGTGGCTTACATCAGGCTATGCATGGGTCATTCTGCATTATTATATGTTTTCTGCCATATTGGAGCCTCAACAGTCAACTCAATATGAATTCATAGTACTATCTGATTTTTCTCTGATTTTCCTGCTATTTATCCAGTCCTGCAGAGGCCATGCACAGCCAACTTCCCAAATGGGCAGGGGACTGACCATATATGGCCGTTTTGTATGTTTGATATCCCCCAATTCACAGAGCCTCTCATACATGTGGAACTGTCTAGTACAAGCATCATACACACACCAAGATCTGCTTATATGCCTCAGTATCATCACTTATGATGGTCAGTACTCTCAAAGATACCTAATCTGGACACTGCTATCAGTACCCAAGGGGCATTGCATGGAGAAGCAATATTTTGGGATTCGTCCGCATTTAATGGGGCTCTAGTAAGGTAGTGTGGCTTCAAGCCATCAAAAAACTCGGCATGAAGAGCTGAGATTAAAGATTACCTTAAAAGGAACATTTGTCAGCATTCCAGCCAATGGGAGTGCTCCAAAATCCCTTTTGAGTGACCGGAGTCATTGACAGGCCGGAATTCCGGCCTGTCGACGACTCCGCTTCGGCAACGGGCGCTTAAACGGGCGCTTAGTAAGCGATGTAAGTTCAGCCTGTTACTGCAGCAAATCTGACTTGTTTTGGGCTCAGAAAAGTCCAGGAAAATCGGATAATATTCCAGGAGATCTGTGGAGCATTTATGAGCATATTCACAAGTAGAGAGGATTGTCCTGTATAGTTATTCAGTGCTGGGACATCAACACATACTTGCTATGACAATATTTCTCCATTTGTAGCACTGCTGTGCATGTTTCAGAGACATCAATGTGTTGGACACTATACACTTGGCCATAGAGGACATCTGTCATGTGTTTCAGATGCAACAGAACAAATGCATATTCACAGAGTCACTTCTGTTTTTTATCTTAGCATTTTGCTACTCATTCAACCACTTCTCTCAAGAAACTATGATAGACACTATGAATGAAGGGCTATGAGGTGAGCTTATGATATCTATAACAGTTGGTTGGAGCTCAGTCAGTGTATCCCAGTCACATGCTACCCAATCATGTCTACAGAGGTAGGGGTGTTTCTCTGCATTTTGAATTTTATACATGGGCAAGCCATACTGGTCATAGCCTCTGGGGGTCCTATAGTGGATCAATTTCTTACATACAGCAGGTACTACAAGTGGGTCCAGTTGCACAGAATTTTCCCTGGTTTTATCTGCATTTTCTGAGCCCAGACTGAGCAGCTGCATGGGTATTCCATTTGGGGAAGGTTAGCTACCCTTTATGGCAGGTTTCAGATGTCATAAAGACATACAGAATCTATGGGCAGTCTACAGGCTTCAAAAGAGTCACTTTGAGGGTGAAAAGGGATGCGCTCATGTGCACAGAGGCATTTGTGTGTTTTTTTATTGTGTGAATTGTGCCATAACCACTGAAGGTAATGGGCAAGTCACAGCAGCTATAGACTCTATGACATCATACCTATCACATAGATTATTTTGGGAATTTTCCGCATTTTAGTGGGGCCACAGTACAGCAGGTACAGTGCCACTAAGGAGCCTGTGGCTAAGATTCAAACTCAGCCCAAAACCTCGGCAGCCTGCCTGATTAGGGCAGAAAAGGGGCTGTTGCACCAATCAGAGCAGCTCGGCATCTCTCTCATGCCGTTCGGAGGTGCAACTGTGCCAAATTTCCGCACGGATGCACCTCCGAACGGCATCTGGGCGCTTAGCGCGCGCTTAGTAAGTGATGTAAGTGCGGACTATTACTCTGCTTATATGGGCTTATTTAGACCCAGGAAAAAGCGCAAAAATCAGAGAATATTGGAGATGGACCAGGGAATGTGATTGAATCTGTCTATGAGATATGCTTGACATCAATAAAGGCAGCATTTCCAATAACTGTGGAACATCACTACTTGACTGTAGGAACTACTCATGTAGTTGAGGACACCCCATAGGATGGTAGTGTAAGTACAGATGCATATATGTATTCTGTGCTTGCGTCTGTGTGCAAGACAAAGCCAGTGGCTGCATAATTGCCATATGAAGTATATTGCCTTCCCAAAGAGGAATCATACACAAACTGGTGAATCTGGGGCTCAGAAAAATCCAGACAATTCATGAAATATACAGACACATCAAAGACAAGTGCATGGTTACTTTTAGTCCCAATTTTGGTCATTACATGGTGTCCATGGGCCACAATATGGCAATGGATGGTAAAATGCCCCATTGTTGACCTTGTTAGCTCTGTTATAGAAATCACTGAGCAGTACACAGTGCCTAAACCACCCATATATATCACAGTGTGCATACAGAACATATTTCAGCCATAAACAAGTACTTTGAATCTGCAGAGGCACATGTGCATTTTTATATTTTGCATTTCCTGGCCTAGCCAGCCACTGTATGCACTCAGTAAAATCCCTGTATACTCTCTGCATGAAGGACTATCAGATGAGTATACTATGTATACTATGCCTTGTTACTGGCTGAGACTATATAGGCACTACAGTGTGTGAGCGCTTGCAGCATTGAGCCACCAAGCTGCCAGTCACATGATATGTTCACCAGTTTCCTTATTGGGGGAACTGCTAAGGTGTTTCATGGGCCTCATATCCATAACTGAGCGCTTCGCCACTGCATTTGTTTGTATCTGTTGGTCCAAGTCGCGTCGTCTGGGAGTCTGAAATTTCAGACTCAGATAAGCAACCCATACTAACAGTTACTTATCTCTGCTTATCGGGGTGGCTGCATGTCACGTGCACTGTGGGAACAAACTGCCATTCTGGAGGAATCACTAAGGTGTTTCATGGTGGTCCATCATAAGAACAATACCTTCGTACCTCAGGGATCGTAACTACAACATGTGAAAAGAGGGTCAAATGGCTCATTGTGGCTGATTTTGGCTGTAGTGCAGCACCCACTGAGTTGTACAGTGTCTGAATCACATATGTATGTCATTACAGACATATGGAACACATCTGAGGCACAAATAGGCACTTTGACATCTGCAGAGGCACATGTGGATTTTTTTATTTTGCATTTTCTGGACCAGCCAGCCACTCTAGCTACTCAATAATGATAGTGTATACTCTCTGAATGAAGGGCTATCAGATCAGTATACTAAGTCCATTCACAATTGTTACTAACTAGGGCTATGGGGCAGCCTATAAGTGTGAGCGCTAGCAGTGAGCTGCCTGGCTGCCAGTCACATGACATGCTCACCAGTTGCCATGTTGGGTGCCACTCGAAGTGTTTCTTGGGCCCTCACCCCAGGACAAAGCACTGAGCCACAGCATTTGTTTGGTGGTGTTGGTGCAAGTCGCGTCGTCTGGGAGTCTGAAAAATTTGAACTCCGCTAACTGACCATAACAAATGTTAACTATACATGGTAAGCTGGGGGCAAATGACTGTACCTGTGGGAAAAAACTGCTGCATTGGGCGCCACTGGAAGCGTTTCAGGCCCGTCCATCATAAGAACGATACCTTCGTACCTCAGGGATCGTAACCTTACCCCTTATCTCATGTTCTGCATTCAGCTTCAATGAATAAGACTATTTCTTTTGGGGATCTACTCTATGCATTGTGATAACACATTCTAGATTGTCAAACAGTGTGGGCAAAGAATATTGGCTTCAGCAGTTGAATAACATGTTTTGCAAAGAAGCCTGTGAGTAGATCTTGTCTCACATATCCTGGCCTAACTATGTACCTTTGGACACTAGGAAATCGATACTAGACTCTATGAATGAAGGGCTTCCAGACAATACCACATTTCCACATATAGTCACTCAACAGCCCAGCCGGTTTTGCCCACCGGCCAGCCATTTTTGCCAAGCACCGGCTGTTTTTGCCGGCTGGTGAAGTAGAAGCTTCGGCCGGTCAATCCAAAGCTTTGGCCGGTGAAGAAAAGCTTCGGCCAATGAAGTGAAAGCTTCGGCCAGTGAGAAAAAGCTTCGGCCAGTGAATTAAAAGCTTCGGCCAATGAACTAAAATGCCCGGCCAATGTTTTGAAATGTCTGGCCTATTGATTTGGCCCTGTAGGGACAACCTGGCTAATTTTATGGCCAGTAAAGCAACAACCTGGGTGAGTGAAATCTCTGGCCAGTTAATTTGGCCAGCCAGTGGGGCTGTTTTGTGTTTTGCAGCTTCACTAGGCATCCCTAAGTCATGGGAAAATTATGCTGTGATCTACTAATGATGGTATACCCCATAGGTGCATAATACATATAGTATTTCAATAGCCCCCAGGGGGCTGTGACCGGCCAGACCGTTTGAAGCAGGACAACTCCTGCCCGGCCGGCCTGTTCGTGGAGTCAGTTTGTTTAGGCTGGCCAACCCATTCTGGACCAGATAGACTTCACTCCGGCCGGTCCGCTTGCAATGAAGGGATTTTATCCTGGCCGGAACATTTGAAGTGGTGGGGCCTGAGTCCGGCCGCTCTGTTTGCAATGTGGACCGGCCAGCCGCTCCATTGCATGTGCTAACCCTGCCCTCCACCCGGCCTGTTTGCATTCATGTTGTATGGGTCCGGCCGGACCATTGCCTATCCAGCCGGACTGTTTACAACAGGTACATTACCCCGGCCAAAAGCCCGGCCGGCCTGTTGCAAGCGGTGCATTGTTGCTAACGGTAGACCCAGACTACTCTGGCCGGAGGCGGCTCTACCGTTTGCAACAGTCAAAATGCACTCCGGCTGTACCGTTAACAGTGAGGTTTTCCACTGAATGGGCTCCATCTTGTCTGTGTTTCAGTTCAATTTTTGTATACACTGAGATACATTTGTTCTGCTCAATGTTGACCCATTGTAGGCCCACTACATCTGGGTGATCCAATATGATGGGCTTTAGAGGGTTCTGCCCATGGTATCACTATACATTTTGTGTTGTGATGTGTAAGACTTATTTGTGTATACAACCTTGCTATTCCCCAAATGTTGTGGTTGTCCCACCTGAATATCCATATATGTTGGAAATATAGGTACAGTAACTGCCCTCGTGTAAGTGACTCCCATGTAATTAATGTGTCCTGGCTTGCAAATGTGGAAGCTCCAACAATGTTGTGATTGACCATGCAGTCAGTGAAACTCACCTGGCCAGCATGATACCAACAAACACATCCCATATCATGCAAAATTATGAGTACCATGAACTGCACATAGATCTACCCATGATAGTACCCATGGTACCCATGATACCCATGCAAAACCCATACCCATGGCATGGGTATGCAACGCATGTGGGTATGGGTATGGGTATGCCCTCAGACACCCATGGGTACACCCATGCTATGCACTATTTGTAGGTTCCTACGCGCACAGGAGCGTAAGCACTCACTTGCAAATCATGGTTTGCGCTCCGAATACAAGTGCATCACTGTTGTCTGTCATTATCCCATGGATGAAGCCGAGTTGGTTGAGGAGGGTGAGTTCAGCTTCCGCCTCCCCAGGAGCCTGCCCAAAAGCATGAAAACAGCGTCTTTGAGAGACACCCATAGATCACGCACTGTCCGGTAGTCAAACCCAAATGCTTCGATGAAGCTCTTCATCGCCCCGAGCATCCAATGCTCCGTAGTTATCACCCGTGTCCCATGTTTCTTTGTGGGTCGCTGTGGGCCATCGAAAACGAAGGTTGCGTGAACAGGCAGGCGCAGGAGCCGCGCTAGTCAGAAGAACAGCGTGCGCAACTCAGGGTTCTCGCCTGACTGTGCATGCCCAACCGCAAATGTCCGTTGTACCTGGTGAAACCAGATACTTCGCTACATGAGTTTGCATCGACATCGACTCGGACAGCATCGGAGACATACCTGGCATCAATCCCAAGCCTGTAAACTCGCTCTCCTCGGCGCTGTTCGAACCCTTCGTGTATGAAGAAGTCTTCGACATTGTGAAGAGACGATACAGGTTTGAATACCTTCCATTAAGGTGCTATGAGTCTCGTGGACGAAAGTTGAGAGCAACGGACGTACATCCCATAACCCAGGGACACCCATGGCTCTGCTACTGTTCGCGTCGCTCAGGACAGAGTGACTGATCACTGTGATGTGTTGCGGGCTGTGATATCCAGTGAACACGAGCCCCAGAGAGGGAGTAGTGGAGGCTGGAGTAAAACAGATGTGCGGATGTGTCCGAGGATGAGGACAAGCCAAGGCATAGTGGTGAGCATTCCGATCGTGTCTGCCGGCCGAGGGGACACAAATCTGGGACCGTAAAGTTGACAGTTTGCCCACCCTTCGTGAGGGGATTTGGCGGGGGTGCCCGCCAAAAAGCACCTTCCCCTCAGCCATCTTCGGACTGCTGGATTTACGGTCCCAAGGCATGAAATTTGCGTCCCCCCGTGCCTGCCCAATTCGGACGAGCGCCTCGCGGCGTTCTTTGTCACAGTGGCCTGCCTCGTTGTCGGCTATGGCCTCGAAACACTGGGTGGGCGGCGCTCTCTCGCGGAGGTGGTGGAATCCTGGGTCTCGAATTGTGCGTGTATTGCGCGTTCAGAGACTCTGTCTACGACATGCAGCGCACCATTTCCTCGCCTTTTGACCAGCCTCATTGGCCTGTGTCCTCGCGCTGCACCTGCCGACACCTGCCGACTCCTTTCCTGCCTGCGGGATGGTCCACCAGCCCCTGCTCTCCTCCTTGTCGTGCGTCACGCACCCCGTGGTCCCTGCTCCACCACGCCACGGAACGTGTGGTGCCCAGACCGGCTTTTTCCCGCCTTGCCTCCGCTCCCGGCACCCGCCCTGGGCGCTTCCCTCGCACTTCCCTTGGCACGTAGCAGGACCGTAAATCTAACTGTCCTCAGTGTTACTTCTAATGATGTGACCGACTTCCTAGTTGGTGTGGGCTCACCCTACTCTCAACCAGAAATTTGGCTACTGAGCTCAACTCAATGATTGTGTATTTTTTCTCATATTTTTCTCATATTCCTGAGGTTTTTTAACATACCTCCTCACAAAAATCTAGGTCATTATGGCCCATACAGAGTGAGGAGGGCTTGTCAAATGCTAAGGTGGCCGAGATCATGACCCGATATAGTAGTGTGGCTGAAAGCCATCAAAAAACTCGGCATGAAGAGCTGAGATTGGAAAATTACTTTAAAGGGGAATATTTGTCAGCATCCCAGCCAATGGGAATGTTCCAAAATCCCTTTTGAGTGACCGGAGTTGTCAACAGGCCGGGAATTCCGGCCTGTCGACGACTCCGCTTCGGCAACGGGCGCTTAACTGAGCGCTTAGTAAGCGACGTAAGTGTGCACTGTTTCTGCAGCAAAACTGACTTGTTTGGGGCTCAAGAAAGTCCCAGACAATCGGATAATGTTCTAGAAGATCTGTGGAATATCCCTAAGCATCTTAAAAATAGAGAGAACCTCAATACATGGTCATTCAGTAGTGGGAAGTCAACACAGGCATGTTATGACAATATTTCCCCACTCATAGCAGTGCTGTGCACATTCCAGACACACTCATGCTGTGTGGACTATGTGCATGGTCTATACAGGTCATATCAAATGTGTTTCAGAGACAACAACCTATTCATATTTGGAATCACTTTGCAATTGCCCACAGAGGTTCTCTTTTCTGGATTATGAATATATAGGCAAGGCATGCTGGTTATAGACTCTGAGGACTCTATACAGAATCAATTTCTTACATACAGCAGGCATCATGGATTAATTCAATTGTACATAATATTCCCAGATTTTATCAGCATTTTCTGAGCCCAGACTGAGCAGCTGAATGGAAACTGCCATTTTTGGAAGGCCAGCTTCCCTATATAGCAGATCCCAGATGTCAGAGAATCAATGGGCAGTCTATAGGCTTTGATAGAGTCACTTTGGTGGTTAAGAGCAGTGCACTCATGTGTAAAGAGGCATATGTGGGTTTTTGAGTTTTGTGGATTGTGCCATAACCACTGAAGTTGATGGGCAAGTCACAGCCGCTACAGACTCTATGACATCATACCTATCAGAGAGAATATTTTGGAGATTTGTCGTATTTGTGAAGGCTACAGTACAGCAGATACATAGACTTGAGAGCCTTTGGCCAAATACAGTAAGGCCAGTCAGAGGCTAATTCCCTAAAACAGCATATTTCAGTGGAGTCTGGGAGACTACACTGCAAGATGACTCGTCCACAGGTCAAAATTTTGACCTGTGGACAAGTGAATCTCACATGGCATGTGGCTGAGCCTATTGCACCAGACTCTGTGTTTCTGCTATCCATCTCCTCCACAAGTACTCAGCATCACACGTAAGTCCTATCAACCCACAATGGGACAATAGTGTTATCTAATGTTTTGCTCATTTTCCTGCCATTTATGCAACACTGTAAAGGTGATCTATCATCAACTTCCCAAACAGGCAAGGGATCTACCATATATGGTGATTTTTCATATCTGGTAGCCATAGACCCCTGCATAAGATTGTCAGCCTGTAGGACTCTCCAGTAAGGGCAGTAAATTCAAAACAACATTTGTACATATGCCTCTGCATCACTTGCCTTGGTCAGTACACTGTGAACAAGCACTGGGATACCTAATTTGGACCTCCATACCTGTGTGCAAGGAGCATTGCATGGGAGTCAATATGCCGAGATTTCTCCACATTCAATGTGCTCTAGTCAGAGTCTAGACAGTGCTGCTGACCACATTGGGCAAGCCATCAAAAAACTCGGCTGAGATTGAATGATTCCCTTAGAAGGCAAGGTTTGCCAGTCGTTCAACCAATGACATTGCTCCAAAATCCCTTTTGGGTGACCTGAGTTGCAGAGAAATGCAGGGCTGCAGTTGTATACAAGTCCGCTTCAGCAATGGGCGCTTAATGGGCGCTTAGTAAGCGGTGTCAGTGCAGACTGTTACTGTGTCAAGAGGGCTTGTATAGACTTGAAAAAAGCGGAATATTCAGAAGATATTCAGAATGAATGAGGTCAAATCCTTATAGCCTTCCATGATACAATTGTTGCATCAACTAGGGCAGTATACTCAATAACACAGTGAGATTCACATTCAGGGAGCTCATATAAGCCTATGATCACACTTCAGACAGTGTCTCTGCAGCATACAAAGCCTGACATCATAGTAGCATGGATACATATGTATGGATGGCCATTATATATCCCCAGATTGTGTCTATGTGTCTATATGCCAGCTACATGCCACAACTACCATATAGAGTAGGTGTCCTGCCCAAAGAGGAAGTAGGACAAGATGTGGTGCCCATGGAGGTCACAAAAATGCAGAAAATCTGTCAAATATACAGAAGCACCCAATAGGAGAATCTGAGTGCTTGGTATTGTCATAGGCATCACTACACCATGTAGATGGACTACAACATGTGAAAAGAGGGTCAAATGGCTCATTGTGGCTGATTTTGGCTGTAGTGCAGCACCCACTGAGTTGTACAGTGTCTGAATCACATATGTATGTCATTACAGACATATGGAACACATCTGAGGCACAAATAGGCACTTTGACATCTGCAGAGCATTACTGGATTACTGAGCAAAGGCAATAATGATTCCATGTGCAAGTCTCAGTGTAAGTTTGTGCTCTTCACAGACAGTTTCCTATGAATATAGCAATGACACACAACATGGTGGCTTACTTGCTCAATTGTAATCTTGCTCATGATGGAGCATGTCATGGTATGAGATGGAGGCCCTGTATTTTTGCTTTGTTTTATCCTATTTTTGCTCATTTTCTATGGACTTGTACTGTACGCTGTACGATAGACTTTGCCTGGAACAGCTTTTGGACTAGTCACGTGACACATCACATGCTAGGGTTCATCTTGTAACTTGTTCATCATGTGGTCTTGCTTATGTAACTTATCATGTGCCCCGTGGCAGTGCCTAGCCACCTGACTCGTTCTGACTCATACGTACACATGACCTCAGTTCTTGGATCCAGCATAGGTAGACCTGCCCTAAACCTAGCTAGTATATATAGTGCCCTGTACGCTGCCTAGCACTCCAGCGCGTACTCTTGGAGTTGCTAGGTAAGCACTTCCCATTGTACTAAGTAGAGTGCAATGTAACTAACCTTGGAGTTGCTAGCCATTGTGTTCTACGCTGTCTGGACTGTTGTTGACTTTGGTCCAACACCTTGAGGTCAAGTATTTTGTTTAAGTTCTGTTTCTAGTTGCATCGGACCTAGCTCCGCGACAGAGCACTGAAATCAACAATGTAGATAACCCAGATGCACAGAGTCTTTGGGCTGTCAGGCAGCAACTGGACAGTGAAAATTGTATATAATGAATTCTTCACACCTCAATGTGTCTAAACCAATAGGATCATACTGCCAGCTATGGCCCTCTCCCCAGCAAGTGCTTGATAGCCATTATATGCATGGACTTATGACTGGATTTAAACATAACAATTGTTAAACCTGAAATGTTTGGATAGTGGAATAAGTAGTCTAGACTCACTATGTGTTCTATGTCTTGTTACCTGGATCAGAATATCCCACTGAATACATTGGCAAGTATGATGCCACAAATACATTACTCACTTATTGAGAGCCAGCCTGAATCTTTGGTATATGACCATTGTGTGAATATAACTCTTGGGTAGATTTCCTGAAGGAAGGGCTGCATCATAAGTGTACTATGTGAAAGCATGGCAGAGAAACTAAACCTCAATGGGTAGTGAGGCAATCTATTGTCCAT